CACAAAAAAGGAATCTTTTGTGGGAAGACAATCTAGGACACCAGAAAGGTGTTGTTGGTTCCAGAAGTGTTTCGTTTGATCTTCTTGCATTTTCAATTATTTTCTTTACACTTTTTGAAAAGCATGGCGGGTAACGGAGTTGAAAATAAGCCCGGGAGTGAAATGTGACCAGTTGGAGGAGGTGCTGGAGACCTTTTCAGAACTGGGACCATTACTACAGTTAGGTTGAATGGTGCAAATTACTTAGAATGGTCACAATCTGCAAAGATGGCCATTGGTGCTCGTGGGAAATTAGGGTATATCATTGGTGAAGTGAAACCTGAAACTAGCAACTCCTGGTGGGTACAGGAGAATTATATGGTGATGACTTGGTTGTGTAATTCCATGTTGCCCCATATAAGTAAATTTTTTTATGGGCAAATACAACTAAGGAAATATGAGATGGGGTTGCAGAAACCTATTCACAGAGGGAGAATGTTGCTAGGGCTTCTCAGTTAAGAAATAAGATTATTTCTACAAGGCAGGGAGAGAGACCTGTTGCAGCCTATTTTTCAGCCCTTAAAACCCTGTGGTAGGAGATTGACCATTTAGAGACATTTGCTTGGGAAACCACTAAGGATGTAGCTACCTATCAAAAACATCTAGAGAAGTATAGGGTGTTTGAATTTCTTGCTGACCTTAATCCTGAGTATGATATTGCAAGACAGCATCTTCTTTATAGGGACAGTGTTACCCTCTCCCAGGCATATGCCTTTGTGTCAAGGGAAGAGAGCAGGAGAGATGTGATGATGAAAAACCCTGTTTTTGATCAGTCTGCCATGGTGAATACTGTGAAACCTAAACAAAGTGGAGATTGGGGTGGAAGTGAAATCAAGAAGGAAGATTTGATCTATGACTACTGTAAGAAGCCTAAACACACAAGAGATACTTATTGGAAGTTTCACCCACATCTTGTGCCGACTAGACTGAAAAATAAGAAGGAAAATGCACACATGGCAGTTACCGGTGATATTCCGACCCCTCCTACTACAGTTTCTATGGAGTATGTTGCAGCTGCTGCAGTAAGGGCCGAACTTGAGAGGTATGGGCAACTTCTGAACCAACGGGATACAGCCAGTTCCAGTTCAGCAGCAAGCGGACAGTATGGTACAGGTGGTACTGGTGGAGTCCACTCTACTTCCTTTGCTCACACAAGTAGTTCACAGGTCACTGCAAATTATGTTTCTACTTCAAGTAAGGAGGGACCTCCTTGGTTATAGATTCTGGAGCCTCAGAGCACATGACCCATAGCTCTACTATTTTTTCTTCTTACCAACTCTGTTCTGGCAAAGATAGGGTCTCCACAGCTGATAGATCCCATGTCCCCATTGCTGGGAAGGGATCTATCAAGATTAGTGATTCTATTTTTCTACCCTTTGTCATTTATGTTCCTGAATTGATCACTAATTTGTTATTTGTTAATAGTTTGATTAAAAACCTGAACTGTTCAGTAATTTTTTTCTCCTGGTCATTGTATTTTGCAGGATCTAGATTCAAAGAAGACGATTGGGAGTGGTCGTGAAGTGAATGGGATCTACCTCCTGGATGTGCTTCCTCCTCATCAGAGTCATCATGTCAGYAGGGATAGTGAGTCARGGTCTRTGGGTCAAATTATGCTTTGGCATAATCGTTTGGGCCATTTACCTTTTTCTTCTTTGAGTCTTTTGTTTCCAAAACTCTTTGAGTCTATTAGTTTGTCAAGTCTGAAGTGTGAAGGTTGTCAACTTGGAAATCATTGTAGGCATTCATTTAAACCTAGTAATAAAAGGTGTTCTTCTTTTGATGTTATTCATTCTGATGTGTGGGGACCTTACCATATTTCTTCTATAGGAGGCTATCGATATTTTCTCTTATTTGTGGATAATTTCTCATGATACTCTTGGATTTACTCGATGAGATCCCGCAATGAAGTACCATCCTTGGTGAGGCAATTTCATCAGATGGTGCTAACATAGTTTGGAACAAGAATAAAGGTGTTCAGATCAGACAATGCTAGGGAGTATTTTGAAAAACACCTTGCCTCATATCTGTTAGAATATGGTGTTGTCCATCAGAGCAGTTGTCSYTAYAGTCCACAGCAGAATRGTGTTGCAGAAAGGAAGAACAGACACATTGTTGAGATTGCAAGAAGCATGATGATCACATCTGCAGTTCCAGTTCAGTTTTGGGGTGATGCAGTTCTCACAGCAGTATATCTAATTAACAGGGTGCCCTCTCATATACTTGGATTCAGCACCCCATTCAATCTCCTTTTTCCTGAGGGGGAGATGTTTCATATTCCTCTCAGGGTGTTTGGGTGTGTCTACTTTGCACATATCCTTGGTCCTCACCGCTCGAAGCTTGATCCCAAGGCAAAGAAGTGTGTCTTCCTTGGATATGCAGAAAATCAAAAAGGGTACTGCTGCTATGATCCAATCTCTGGGAGCCGGTATGTTACCATGGATTTCACCTTTTTTGAATCCACATACTTCTTCTCAAAGAATCCTTCTCAGGGGAAGTGTTTTGGGGAAGTAAGTCAGCCAGTCAATTCCTCTCCCAGTTCCAATCCCTGTGTCTACTCCTGTGCTTAACCCTCCTGTGTCATCTACCTTACCACCTCCTTTGTGTCCTGCTTCTCAGCATTACTTACGACAGAGACTTCACAAGGAGGTTGATTCCACTACAGCAGAACTCATCACTTCCTGTCGGTTCCATGGAGACTCCAAATTCAACTGACATGGATTCAGGTATTCCTCTTGGTCACGCTATTGTTTCAGTTCTCATTGATTCTGCTAACTCTATTATAGATAACCTTGATCTTCCTATTGCTCTCAGAAAAGGGAAGAGAAAGTGTACTACTCATTGTATTTCACAGTACTTATCTTACAGTGGACTTTCTCCTTCCTACCATGTTTTTCTTTCCTCTCTTGACTCAGTGTCTATACCCAAGGGTGTTAGTGAAGCTGTCTCCAAACCTGAGTGGAAGATAGCTATGCAAGAAGAGATGGCAGCTTTGATTAAGAATCAGACATGGGACATTGTGGATCTACTAGAAGGCAAGGTGACGGATGGATGCAGATGGGTTTACACAATAAAATATAAGGCAAATGGAAGTCTAGAAAGGTACAAGACAAGACTTGTTGCAAAAGGGTACACACAGACCTATGGCATTGATTACTTAGAGACCTTTGCACCAGTTGCAAAGATGACCTCTGYTCGGATACTTMTTTCTCTTGYTGCCTCATACTCTTGGCCCTTGTTTCAACTTAATGTGAATAATGCTTTCCTAAATGGGGATCTGCAAGAGGAAGTGTATATGGATCTTCCAGCTGGCTTTTACAGTAATGCTGAAAGGGAAAGGTATGCAGGTTTAAGAAGTCACTTTATGGCTTGGAACAATCTCCCAGAGCATGGTTTGACA